CACAAAAATAAACTCAAGGTTCCTAAGATACCTAGGGGGAAAGCCCCAAATCATAAAGATCATAAGAGACAAAATGGGACAAAACTTAGAAGCCCTAACCTATGGTATAAAGAGGATGGCAAATTCAGCCAGAAATACACAACCATGAAATGACAGTATGAACAAATGAGACCTTCTAAAGAGTAAATGCTTTTGTGCATCAAAGAGTCTTACCAATAGGGTAAAAAGAAAACCTACTGATGGGGAAAAAACATTTGGCAATGCCATCAAAGACAAGGGTTTCATAACAAAAATTTACACAATACTAGAGGAACACAAGGAAAAGAGTGATAACCCAATCCCAAAAATGGGTAAAAATTATGAATCTTTTCATAGTGGAAGAAATTCAGAAGGCCAACAGACACATGAAGAAATGCTCAAAATTACCGGCAATAAGAGAGATGCAAATCAAAACTACAATGAGATGTCATTGCACCCTAGTTACAGTAGTAAAGTTTAACAGGACAGTAATCAATAAATTTTGGACAGGCTGTGGAGATATTGGAACTTTCACACACTGTTGGTGGGATTGTAAAATGGTACAACCACTCTGGAAGGCAGTTGATATGTCCTCAAAAAGCTGAACATAAAAATTCCATATGAACCAGCTATTGCACTGCTAGGAAGATACCGTGAAAAAAACAGAACTGCTACACAGACATTTGTACACTGATGATCTAAGCAGTATTATTCATAATAGTAGGAACATGGAAGCAGTCCAAATGTCTGTCAACAAATGAATGAACTGAAAAATTGTGGTACATTTCCATGAAGAAATACTATGAAGCACCCAGGAGCAATTATTTAGAAAAATACTATACAACATGAAAAAGGATAGAGAGTATTATGCTGAATGAACTAATTCAGTCTCATAAGGACAAAAACCACATAAGACGATTATTATTATTGTAAAAATAGTGTGGATAAAACTCTAAAGGGAAAAGGGTGCAGACGAGCTGAGAGTTGAGAGAAAGGAAAATCACAGGGTTGCAGACTTTAGTGTGTGGAGGGAGGGCCTGAAGGAATTAATACAGATCCTGTGGGAACCTGAAAAGACTGAGTGACGGTGGGCATAGATCAATGGTGATTAGTTTTATAAAACACAGTGTATGCAGCAATGAATGAATGGAAATCCAAAAATCTCTCTAAATGTTCATTAAAATTATTAATTAAAAAAGGTAATAAAATGGGACTGACATCAGGGTTGAGGTAAGACAGAAAAGGAGGGGAGGAACGATGTATATTGCATTGAAACTGATGAGGGAGAGAACTTTTTAAAAGGGATATAAGTCTATCTGTGTTTCATTGACTATGCAAAGGCATTTGACTGTGTAGATCATAACAAACTATGGCTGACTCTGAGAAGAATGGGAATCCCAGAACACTTGATCATTCTAAGGCGAAACTTATGCTTGGACCAGGAGGCAGTCGTCAGAACAGAGCAAGGGAACACTGCATGGTTCAAAATTCAGAAGGGCGTACGCCAGGGATGCATCCTATTTCCATACCTTTCCAACCTATATACAGAACAGATTATCCGGGAGGCTGGGCTCTATGAGGAGAAATGTGGGGTCAAGATTGGTGGACGATTTATCAACAACCTGTGTTATGCGGATGACACAACCCTGCTTGCTGAAACTGAAGAGGACCTGAAGCACCTGCTGCAGAGTGTCAAGGACTGCAGCCTACAATATGGATTGAGGCTCAATGTCAAGAAGACAAAGATTCTCACCACTAGACCAATTGGCAGCATCAGGATGGATGGTGAAGAGATTGAGATTGTACACAGCTTTAGTTTGCTTGGCTCCATAGTCAACAGTCTTGGCACCAGCAGCCAGGAAATTAAAAGGCACATTGCCATGGGAAAGTCTGCTGTTAGGGACCTCTCCAAAGTACTGAAGAGCAATGGTGTCTCTCTGGAGACTAAGGTGCGTCTGATACAGGCCATGGTCTTCGCAATCACTTGTTATGCATCAGAGAGTTGGACAATGAGCAAGGAGGATAGAAGGAGAATTGATGCGTTTGAGCTGTGGTGCTGGAGAAGAGTATTTAGAATACCATAGACTGCTAGGAAAACAAACAGATTTGTCCTGGAAAGGGTTAAACCAGGTGGCTCCTTGGAGGCAAGGATTCTGAGGCTCCGTCTAACATACTTTGGACATGTTGTGAGAAGAGACCGGTCCTTAGAGAGGGACATCATGCTTGGGAGGGTGGAGGGATGGCGCAGGAGAGGTAGGCCCTCTATGAGGTGGATTGATTCAGTGACTGGGGTAATTGGGATGGGAGTGTCAGAGACAGTGCGATTGGCACAGGACAGAGCAGAGTTTAGGGCTGTTGTACATAGGGTCGCTATGAGTCGCAGGCGACTCGATGGCACATAACAACAACAACAACAACAACAATAACATTCTAGTCATTACAGAAGTTCAGAGTGAAGGCTGCATAGTGGAGTGGACTTGGAGGGAGCGATTGCATAACAATGAAAGAGTTTTCCTTTCTTTTCAAGAAGAAGAGTGAATTGAGGGAGGTAGGAAGAAAAGTGCAACAATGAATGTGTGGAAACCCTAAGTCTCTGTAAACTTTCATTAAAATTAATTTTTTAAAAAACAAAACAAAAAAACCACAGTGTATGGGAATGATTGTATGAAACACAATGTGAATGAAGGATGATGTGAAACACAATGTACATGTATGAAACACAATGTATAAGAATTTTGTGTGCAAACCAATATAAAATTTTTTAGTAATTAAAAAAGAATAAAGGAATAAGGAAACCCCAAAACAACACTGCACCCTCACAAAAAACTGCCACTAATTCCAGAGTCTCTTCTAACATCCATTTTGGTCTTTTCTTTCTTTCCTGTTTTTTAAACAGATTATTGTTTTCTTCACATATGATGGCCTTGATGTCATCCCACATTGTCTTATTTTAGCCACTAGTGTTCAATGCATCAAATCTGTTCCTGAGATGGATTCTAATTTTAAGTCATATCCTTAAGGCTGAACTCATAGAGTCATTTTAATTTTCTGCAGCTTCTGTGTAAATTTGCACACGAGCAATAGCCAAACTGTTCTGCAGTTGGCCCAGGGTCTTGTTCTGATTGATAATACTGAGCTTCTCCATTGTCTTTTTTATAAAGGCACAGTCAATTCCTGTGTATCTATTTGACAAAGTTCACATGTATAGTTGTTCATATTGTTGAAAAAGAGCTGTTGTTACGTGTCAGCAAGCTGGAATCAACAAATATCTAACCCTCCATCAGGTTTTCAGAGGCAGTACTTGCATGAAAGAAACTGTCTACCCTTCTCCCATAAGCTGTTGGATTCAAACCAAGTGCCTTTGGGATTGCAACACAGCTTCTTACTACTCCAGAGATATTTTTTTCTGTCATCTCTGGGAGGAGGTCTGTGTCTCTCTTCAGTTTGTTTCCTGGTTTCTGGGAATTCTCCATATGTCTTGAAACTTTCTTCCCTCATATCTGCTTCTGATTTGCATTTAATCTTTTATACCTCAGAAGACAGACTAAAAACACATCCTATACTAATCTAGCCTTATTAACGTAATAAAAAAACCCACTATAAAATGAGATTTTAACATTAGGTATTGAGATTAAGATTTACAACATATGCAATCCATAACAATAGGAGAGCATATTAAAAGTCAAGGAAAGAAAATATATGGGGAGAGTTAGAACACACTGAAAGGAAAAGCAAATGGAAATATTTACTCATTGGCTTAGAAGCTTTGTATTCCTTAGGCTGGCTAAATTAATACTTACCCTGAAGATTTCAATTGAGTTAATTTCCTCTAGCAAGCACAGACAGACTTTCTAATTTTTGGATTGTGTGTGAATTATATGTGCTCCTCGTACATATTCCTATAATAACATTATTGAATTTATTATAGTATTATAACTTGATTGCCTCTGAACACATTCATAACTCTACTAGACTTCAGCACCAGGAAATCAAAAGATGAATTGCACTGGGAAAGCCTGCTGTCAGGGACCTCTCCAGAGTACTTAAGAACAATGATGTTAGTCTAGAGACTAAGGTGTGACTGATCCAGGCCACGGTCTTTACAATTACGTGCTATGCATCAAAGAGCTGGACAGTGACTAGGGATGATAGAAGGAGAATTGATGCCTTTGAGCTGTGGTGCTGGAGAAGAGTATTGAATATACCATGGACTGCCAGGAGAACAAACAGGTTTGTCAAGGAGAGGGTGAGACCAGGCTGCTCCTTGGAGGCAAGAATTCTGAGACTTTGTCTGACATACTTTAGGCATGTTGCAAGAACGGACCAGTCCTTGGAGAGGGATATAAAGCTTGGGTGGGTGGAGGGACAGTGCAAGATAGGAAGACTCCAAATGATATGGACTGACTCAGTGACTAGGGTAATGAGTGTAGGTGTGTAAGAGGCAATAAAGTGTTCATAGGATATAGCAGGGTTCAGAGCTGTAGTACACAAGTGACTCAACGGCACATAGCAACAAAAACAACACTGAAGAAGCAAGACTGGTGGTTTCTTCAAGAGTGAACCCTCTAAGTTTTCTTTCTCATTTGTATACCTTTCTACAGCAACCAGCATGTTGTTAGTATTTGTTATCAAATTGGAACCAACGTACAGCTGTCTCTCCAGAGGGTTTTCAGAGGCAGCAAATCACATGAACGGAGATTGCCAATTTTTCTCCTGAGGAGCAGATGGTGGATTCCAACTGCCTATCTTTAATTTAGTAGTGCAACTTCTTATTACTAGGTCACCAGCGCTCCCAACAGAAACTAGCATAGAGTTTGGCAGATACTTGTTGATATTTGCTTACTGATAATTGCTTAGTTGAATTCAGTCAGGGAAATAAGCTATTATTAATAAGTCATATAAGAATATTAACATGAAAGAATAGCTTTGCTGATTGTATACAACTAAAATTTGAATAAATAAGAGTAAATTAGGCTCCTTACCATTTCAGTAGTCATCACTTTTGTTACAATGTGTGTTATAGTTTTTCCAAAATCTCTTTTTCCTTTTCTACGCCTCAAAATTCTTGGAAAGAAAGGTCCATGAACTCTATAGTGAAAAACAATTTATGATTAAATTAACATTAAAAATTCAGCCTATACTTACAAAATAAAAGTTGCCACTAATCATCATTAATTCATTAACTATAATGACTTTCAGAGAAATAAAGGAGTTCTGATGGCCTACTCGGTAAGGAATTGTGCTGCCAACCCTATGACAGAAGCTTTGAATCCACCATCTCCTCTGAGAGAAAAAAATGGACATTCTTTTCCAATGAGATTCACAGCCTCTGAAAACCCTTTAGAAGATCAACTATGACTCCAGGGCAATGACTTTGACTTAGAGAAAAGGGCTTCTAGACAGTAATGGAATGATTAAGATAACTGTTTAAATCCTTGAAGTCTAAAATATTTCATCATAAAAGTGAGCACATAGAAATCAGAATGCCACTCACTATACAATCATCAGTCTTCCAATACAGAAGAAAAAAAAATTCTGAATATGCTTTTATAATACACTTAGTAGTAAATTAATACAAAGTAGAGGTGAGTTTCACATGCTACTAAAGCCCAAGCATATTTAGAAATACGCTTAATTTGAATATCCCTTGGACTGCCAAAAATGAATAAAGATGCACAGGGAAAGTGCTCCTTAGAAATGAGGATGGTGAGATTCACGTACTTTGTACACGTATGGGTAGGGCCTAGTCCCCTGAGAAGGATATCTTTCTTGGAAAAATAGAGAGTCAGTGAATGAATTAAAGAAAAACAGGGTTATCCATGTTGGACAGGTTTTAGTAGAGCTCCCAGATTAAGACATACTAGGAATCAAGATGGGCCATTCACTTCTTAGATAATGGGCCTCTGAAAACACTATGAACAGTAGAGGAACACTGATAGTTACAGTAGTGGTAGAGCCCAGATTGGAAGTTAGGAAGATAGAAAAAACATGGCAAACATAATTTAATAATTGGAGTATGGAATGTATATAGCTTCAATGTTGGAAAGCTAGAAATTTTAAAAAATGTAATGGAACACATGAATGTTGACATTCCAGGTATTAGTGAGATGAGATGAACTAACCTTGGCCATTTTGAATTAGATAACCATATGGTAAACTATGTTGGGGGCTTACAAGGAAGCCCAGTGAATACCACTATAATTCAGATATATGCACCAACAACCAGAGCCAAAGAAGAAGAAATAGATGATTTTTACCAACTTTTACAATCGGAGACAGATCGAACATGCAATCAAGATGCACTGATAATAATGGGTGACTGGAATGCAAAAGTTGGGAATAGTGAAGAAGAATCAGTAGTCGGAAAACATGGGCTTGGTGACAGGAATGAGGCTGGA